TAGTGGAAGGAACGACAAAAAGCACCTCAAGAAGAAAGGAAGGAAAACAAAATCTGCAGCCCAAGGATGAAGCAGTGAATGGAAAGAACAATTTAACTGGAATCAACAAGTGGGAACTTCTGCACGCCTTGTTCTTCCCCTCCCTTCCCGCTCCAGCCCGCAGGCTTTCAGAAACTTCTTGCTGGAAAGAAAACTTGTCCCCGTTTGCGGACCTCTCTCCTCCTTGCGCCTCACAAGGGATATAGCTGTCACCCCCCACCCTGCCCAAGGCGCCGGCGATGGTCCCCAGGGCGAGCGCTGCCCTGGCCGTCTATGCCCTTCAGGGGCTGCTCCTGATGCACGGTAAGACACGCTCCCACGGGGGTTTCTCCTTCTCCCCCCCTTCCCGGTGCTCCCACGGGAGATGTGGGGGGGCCGCTCGGGTCAGTGGCAGGGGGGGGTGTGGAAAGCTGAGCGGTCCGGTGGGGTGCAATGTGCTTCTACCCCCGGAGTTACACCTGATTTTCGCCGCTATCAGAAAAGCCAAGAGGCAGGTTAATGAGATTTAGAAGAGCTTTTCCGCCTGCCGTATGCCTTTTCATTATCTCGTTAAGCATAAGGATTTCGCCGGATTACCGCGCCATTCAGTCATGACACTGCAAATCGTGTAAAGGAGCCGGGCTGTTATTTACTGGGGAATTCCTTCTGACAGTAATGATGATTTTTTAATTTTTTTTTTTTGATAGTGAATGTATTTCACAGCACAAGACTGTTGCTTCTTTAGCATATCATAATCTTTTTGTAGTTTTAATATCTAGAGGATAGCTTCTGGCAACACTGTGAACCATCACTGTCCTTGATTTTCTTGGATTCATTCAGTGATTTAATGTATTCCTTCTGCAGAAAGGAACTGATTGGCAATCACCAGCCCCAGTGCATTTCATGGTCCCCGGCAGTACCTTCCCCACAGTTACCTACAGAATAAACAAAACCATAGAATCATAGACCGGTTTGGGTGGGAAGGGACCTTTAAAGGCCACCTAGTCCAACCCCCTGCAATGAGCAGGGACATCTACAACCAGATCAGGTTGCTCAGAGCCCCGTCCAACCTGACCTGGAATGTTTCCAGGGATGGGGCATCCACCATCTCTCTGGACAACCTGGGCCAGTGTTTCACTGCCCTCAGCATAAAAAATGTCTCACTTATACCTAGTTACCCTCTTTTAGTTTAAAGCTGTTACCTCTTGTCCTACCGCAAGAAGCCCTTCTAAGCCCCCTTTAGGTACTGGGAGGCTGCAATAAGGTCTCCCCAGAGCCTTCTCTTCTCCAAGCTGAAATAGTTAAGCCTGAGATTTTGCTCCAAAGGGCTTGTCCAGCTTTTCCAAAAAAAACTGAAGCAGCAAACCTAACAGGTAAAAAGGTCCCCCTCCCTCCACCACAGAAACCCTAGTGACCCGCGGTAGCAGTGTCCCACCTAACCCCGGAGAAGGCAGTCCTGCACCACACTGGACACCAGTACCTACACCTTGAGTTGCACCTGGGGCGGCATAGGAAGGTCGTGCAGCCCTCGGAGAATTCCCGTGATGCGCTCCATCTGGCTGACACGTGCGCGAGCAGCCAGCTGCGTGCTATGTTAGTTTTAACATCTGAATAGTCTGGAAAAGTTGCCCCTAGAAGGCATATTACCAGAAAGTCAGTGTGATTTCCACAAAGGCATAAATAACCACAGACTTTGATGGATCACAGAGAGATAATAACAAGTCTTTGGCAGAAGGGAGAAAGTGTGTCTTGCCACAAGTGTTCCTCAGGCTCTAGGATGAAGTGGAGCCCAGTGCAATTGTTCCTGAGGAGGCGGGTGAAAAGCCTGGCTAGAGATGCTACCCACATTTCAGGGCTTGACTTTCTTGCCAGGTTACTTGCCTAATAATTTTGGTCCTAATAACTTTGAAATTTGGTCCAGATTCACTTTCCCATCAGTGCCAGGCACGGAGAAGGCAGAGAGAAGGCAATGCCTGCACCCCGCAGCAAAGGAAGGAAGGCAGGCTCATCGCTAGCTGTCCCTGTAGGGGAAGGCTGGTATTTGGAAGCAGCATTATGGATGTCAGACCTTTGTCCGTCATTGGGAAAAGATAATATGTTAGCACAGCCTCTGTGTGCCCTAATTAGGCTGGAAGCCAAACCAAAACAGGGCCAGGAAGTCGGAGGATTCTGGATAGCACTGATGTTATTGAGGTATTAACTCCTCAGTCACCTTTCCCTCAAAGTTCATCTCCAGCAATGAATTCAATGAAACTTTGTTTGACCCCAAGGCACTAGAGGCACAGGTCTATTCTGCAGGCTGTAGGTTAAACCTTCTCTGGGATCTTTGTGGTCAAAAAACTTCTTTCCTTTGAGGGCGGCAGAGCAGTGGCACAGGCTGCCCAGAGAGGCTGTGGACTCTCCTTCTCCGGAGACATTCAAGACCCACCTGGACACCGTCCTGTGCAACCTGCTCTGGGTGCCCCTACTCTGGCAGGGGGTTGGACTGGACGATCTCCAGAGGGCCCTTCCGACCCTCACCAGTCTGTGATTCTGTGACAATTGGGCAGAGTTGCGCTGAAGAGGCTGACTCTGATTCAAATCCAAACAATTTCATCTGCAATGCAGATATATTTTACGACTGTGAAAGACATCCAGTACCTGAGGTGCTGAGCGAAGGCAGTGCTGTTGCGCGGCTGAGGGATACCTCCCAGGTCAGGACTTCCCAGGTGCTCAAGTGCAAGGACGCCCTCTCAGCTCTTACCAAACCCTACCAAAGGACTCCGAGTGACCTCTCCTTCTGTAGCAGCGGATTGCAACCGCTGTGTCATTACCTCCTGCATGCTGCTCAGCAGCTGGCCAAGGTGGCCGAGGTGTGCCGCGCACGCCAGAGGACAGAAGTTAATCACAGCCATTAAATTCATCCAGCTCAAAGGATGGTCCCCTTTAGGGAACTCCTAACTTCTCTGGTGCTTTCAGTCCTTGGGGGTGTTTAGGAGAGGGAAGAGACCATGCAAACATCATCCCAATAATTTCCTGCCTTATTACAGGACACAGCTTCAAAATATTTTATGCCTCTTTAAATTTCCTAAGACGGTTCTACAAGTATCGTTAAATTTCCAGCTTCTTTTTGCTAATTACGCAGCTTATGCTGAAGCCCTTAGAGTACTAGTTAGGGTCTTTCTGCTGAAAACTTTTGATGTGGTAATTACTGCGCAGATGCCAACAGCTGGCACACGTTTTAGGTATGGCGTGGGTTGGTTAAAAAACAGCCCTTTAAAAAACAATCTGCAAAGAATTTTTGACACTAGCAACACCTTATATCTTGCACGAAAAATTTAGTATGTTTTACCCCCTGACATTATGATCAAAAAGTTTTTAATATACGAGCAACCCAAATAGCTTTTCAGGTATTGGAATAAACTCAGTAATTTCAGTGATTTACTACCAGCAAACTGACAAGATTCAAGAATAAAAATGAGGTGTCCTGCCTGATCCCTTTGCAATGAAAGCAAGTTTGAAATTGAATAGGTTTTTTTGTTTCATTTTGCAACCTCTTCTACGAAGAAAATATCCGAGGATGGGCAATTTAGCTTTGCTAACATACACATTTCAACTATACCGCGTACGAGTAGCTAAGCCAAAAGCTTCAGGAGCTCCGACTCCTGCAGGTTCGCCGGCTAGGATGCTCTCTGCGCAGAGCAGGGCAGCCCGCGGGCTCAGCGCCGCGCTGTCGCAGTCCCAGGCACGAAGGGTTTGCTCTTGCCCTTCTCTGAGGCACTCAGGGCTGGAAAGTCGAGGATTGGAGAGCTGACAACACGGGCTGTTGATCGGCTCTAGTAAACCAAAAATGTCGCTCTTAATTGGTGTTATTCCTAAACATTTGCTTTACTGTGGGAAAATGTTATAAAAAGCAGAGAAGGCTTTTTTTTAAGATTGTGATATATGAGCCTCCTGCCTGAAGCTGCCACATTCAAAACCAACTGGAAATCTCTTTACACTAATTCAGCCATTTCAGGCAAGGAAAAAAATGCAAAGTATTTCTTGAATACTCCCTGAATTTCTAAAAAACAGCATCATACCCAAAAGAATACTGAGAATACAAACCAGATTGTTTGTTGAAGGTTTCTGTTGTAAGAACTTACAATATTTTCTTTAAAAATTGTAAAAAAATATTTATCTGCGCACAGTTCCCCACTGGTCTGCTAATACCCATCAATCTAAATGATTGCAACAAGGTACATTTGAGTTATCTCTGTCCTTTCATACGTTCTCTGAATTGTTCATTTTAGGATGAAGTATTTGTACAAAGCAACAGCTCAATCTACTTCAGTTTGAAGCAACATATCAAGTTGGGCTGCATATACAATATTTATGTTGCCAGTAGGTTTATGCACAAAGGCAAAAGGTTTCCAGCCACCACAGGAGGGTTCGTAGGTACAGTCAGTGGGAGGTGATCTGTGTTTTTCCTAAGTTTGCCTTCCAACTTGCCAGTGCAGTTTGAAGGAGGGTAAAAACCTGCCCTGTGCCATATACATTCAGAGATGACTCTCATCTTTGGCTTCTGAAGACATTTGCAAAGCATATGCAGCGGGGGTCACTTCATCCTCAGCAAAGGACGGGATGAATAAAGAAGCTGCTTTCAGTTTACATTGCAAAACAGTTTGGGGGGCAGCACCAGCAACCTGCTTTTTGTCAAACGACACAGGAAGTTTCCAGGAGGCATTTGACTTTCAAAGTGAGCATGAGGAGAACACTGAGGCTTAGCCCGACCCAGCTTGGCTTAGTGTGATAGTTCCTCCGATCAGCCTTGCTCCGCCGTGCCCTTTTTCTCTAAACCAGCCTCACGTCACCGGAATGGGAATCACAAGTGGAAGTAATGAGAAGATGTTTGGAATATCTAAACAACAGCTAGGAACAAAATAGACATGTCCCTAGTGTTTTCCTTCAGAGCTCAGATGACTGACAGGACATGAAGGCTTCTCTGTGCCGATCAAGACATTTCTGTTTCTCCAGTCCTCACCTTCAGACACAGTATCTATCTGTACTCAGTCACAGCAACCAAAAAAAAAAAAAAAAAGAGATTGGCTACCTAAATAAGCTGGTATAAAATGTGTGTAACAGGGAACTGATCTCCTCACCAAGTTAGGCACTTCTTTAATTTTTCTTTTTTAAGGCCACAGAGAAAATAGTAGAAGCTGCCAAAATCAACCAGCCAAGGTTATTATCTGGAAATGGCATTTAATATAAGCGCATGCTTGAAGCTTGCCCCAGGGAGCAGAACTTTAGCAGCAGAGAGCTTGCAATCATCAGAAGCCAGGCAAATTTAGAACAAATCACATGAA